ATTGTAAATGTTATATTTCCATATGTATATATACACAAACAAAAAAATTTTAAAAACTAATGAAATTCAGTTAATAAACCTATTAAACTTTATTATGAAAGGTTATGAAAAAATTTTAAGTTTTTAAAATTTTGTTGTCCATACCATTTCTTCCATAGTAAAAATTCATTTTTAACACAGCTAATAACTCACAGATACCACATTAAGTTTAGTACTTATCTAAGAAAACCTTTTCTTCCTTTCTCAGTCTAATTTTTATGAAAATATTAGAGTCAAAAGAGACAGGATCTAGCACACCATAGTAAATGTAAACATTCTAAATGATTTAATATCAAGCTTTGAAAATTCAGATTTTATACTTAAAGTGCTCATGAAATTCTCAAGTGGTTTTACAATAGCTCAACTGATTGAACATATTATAATTGCTCCTGCTTTATTATAGCCATGAGTCAACAGAATATCTGATTAGATCTATTAAATACCTCGTACCTTAAAGCTTATAATTTAAAATAATGCTACTGTGAAAGGATGCCGTGCTTTAACATGATGCATACTAGAAATTCTAATATTAATTTTTCTAATAGTCATTTTAGTTGACAATCATAAAAAGGGAAGCTAATAATTGAGTGTGAATACACACATTCTTTTAGCATAGTTTGTACTTTCAAAACAATATAATATCTTAATTGTGGCTCGTGTGCATTCTGAAGACAGAATATTTATTTATTCATGTAGTGAATGAGAGACAAAATTCTAGTATACTATCATTATTAATCCGTGCAAGATGAAAGTATTAGATAATATTGGCAGCTAATTAGTCAATTGTCCTAGGTATTAGATTACCACATGTTCCACCAAAAGCTACATTAATGATAACTAAGGTCAAAAATTCAAGATTACATTTAAGCAAATAATGACAAATCTTACAACAATACAGTGAATTTGAGAATCACTGTAATGACATGTACAAAATAACATGATTCATGTTAAGTGCATTAACATCATAGATGATCAGATAAGACGCATTCAGTGATGGCAATGGAAATGTTACTCTAAATTCCCTGGCTTAACTGCATTTCCTTGTATTTCTCAACTCCCCGCTCCATTTCTGGTTTTCTGTGTTAGTAAAGTTTGTTTTGTGGTATTTTGTTTTCATTCATAGTTGCAAAAGGAAGAAAGGCTTTTCAAGAAAATGTCAGGAAAAGAAAAGTATCAGCTCACTTCCCTGAAGACATTTGCAAAAAGAAGGATATAAAATCAAGTGAGGGAACTATATAAAGGAGGTGCAGGAGCAGGACGAGCAGGAATTAAATTTCCCTGAGATGATACTTTAGGTTGTGGTGGAGGTGGCCTGTAAAGGGGGAAAAAAACATGTTAATATTCAACATAACACCATTCTCAAACTCTCTGATAACAGTTAAAGGCATTTCATGTTTTGAGATTATTATTAATGATATTACTAAAGGGTTCCAATTAAAATCTAAAATGGAATCATTACCTTATATTAATGTTATTCCATAATCAATAATTTATGGAGGTTCTAGTTTCTATGAAACCATATACTCATATTGAAAAAACAAATGAGGACACCAAGAATGAAGCACTTTTCTAGTGCTGTTAGAATTTATGAGCCAGCAAATTACTGCTAAGTTGAAACCTAGCTCTATGCTTGTGTACACAGAGGGAAATTATAGCTCGCTCAAACAATATCTGCTCTGAGAATTAAATCTGCTAATACACCTACACCTATCTATCTCAATCCTCATACCTTAACTTGCAGACATCTCTTCATCCAATCCTAATACACCTCTACTCCGATACCACACTGGAACATTACCTGGTAAATATCTGTCTCTCTATTAATATATTCTTCTCTGAATCCTTTCAACAGTATGTTGAAATCCAATTGAGGAATTGGATTTCAACATACTGTTACTAAATAGTAAAAATTACATATAGGGACACTCCTCAAGTTCCAGTGTAATTGGAATTTGATGTACTACTGGGAGTAGGAGGAGTCAGATGTGTTTTATGATGTAAATGTAGAAATAAATTTTCTCCTTTCCTGCTGATTTTAAGTCCTTCTACTGAGTCTTTAATTTCAGTTCTTCTGTTTTTAAGTTCTAGAATCTGCACTGATTCTTCTTTAAAAGTTTCTAGCGCTATGCTGAAATTCTCCATCTCAACTATTAATTCCATGATACAATCATCATAG